TAGAGTCTGCAAATCTTTTCTACATCGTGGCAACCAAAACTGAATGCAGTATTCCAAGTGTGGCCTTACCAAGGCCTTACAAAGTGGTATTAACACGTCACGTGATCTTGATTCTATTTATGCAGCCCAGAACCGTGTTGGCTTTTTTGGCAGCTGCTGAACACGGCTGGCTCATATTTAAATGGTTGTCCGCTAGGACTCCAAGATCCCTCTCACAGTTACTACTGTTGAGCAAGGTACCACCTATACTGTATTCTCTTCTATTATTTCCCACCTTTATAGTTATTTTTTCTCAATACATAAACAATATTTTCAATTGCCCCTTCAAACCTACACCAAATTTTCCTTTCATATATGGGTATATATGGGTATATTTTGCTATAAACAGCATACATTCTCTAATTCAATTTAAGCATAGAGAGCATTTCTTTCAAATGTTTTCTACCATTAACAATGTACTATCATTTCTTTATTTCTTAAATTGTTACCTTACAATAACAATCTTACTACTATTCTCTTTAGCCTACTAATGTAACTCTTTTTTTCCCCTTTCTTCCTCTTTTAACCATTTTCTCTTGGGCTATGGAGATTCTCAATCGTCCAGGTCATGGTTATTAATTCCAAAGATGCTTTCCCAAAAGGCAACCAAAAAAACTTCTTGGATGAGAAGCAAAACCTTTTCTATGAAAAAAAAAAAACCAAGGAAGTCCAATTGCTTTTTAGAAAAGAATCTTTGGGAAGATCGGAAGTGGGTGCATTCAATAAGGAGGTCATTGAAAAAATGGCATACAACGGTAAAGTGATAAGAGAAACTGGACTTAAAGTAACTGAACATCAAAACAACAGCTAAGACTGTTTTTCTTCAAATGTCATTTGGTAAACAGTGGCTACATTTTCAACATGGTTTCCTTTTCCATTACAAAGAGTGAAAATACATCCAATGTTTAACAAGCATATTATAGGCTTCTTCAATCTTATGAGTTGATCTGCATTGTATTTATTTATTGCATTCTTATTGTCTTCCCACGGTTTACAGCCAAACCATTCAAAAACTTGTCAACCCAAAAATGTCATAAATCCATAACATTAGGCCACGGTTGCGTAAATACCCAACTGGACACTGTAAATCAATTAGGACTGCTTCAACTTTAGAAACCTACAGGAATCTTAAGACCATCTGTTGGGTTTTCCAATTTTCAAAGGGTAGATTTTATAACGACAGTTTCGCCTACTTTTATCAGGACTATTTGCACTCACATTATTTAGGAAAAACTGAATTTAGGCTGGCTTACTCATTGCAGCTTGTATCTTAGCAACAGGCGACTGAATTTTCATCGGCTCTTCGTAGTTTTAAAATAGAAGGCACTTCCCATAAGATTACTGATCTGGAGATTATTCCAGGTATGAAAAATGTGAAAAGGTGTCAAACTAGCCAGTGCTTTAGGTTCGAATTTAAGTTCTCCTTCACAACTCTTTGAAAATTTATCTTTTCAATAGATAAACGGTTGGCTGTACTTTTTCATCATCCTTTTTTGCAGTTCTCTCCAATGCTTATTTTTTCTATTTTATTTATTAAATGTATTGTCTGCCCATCTCACCGCAAGGTAACGTTGAGTGGCTTATATATTATATTATCACAGTGTCATTATTATTGAGAATATTCATCTTCTCTTCTGGGTTTCCAGCTCAACTTTGAATGTTTGGACCAGATATTCTGTCTTCCGCTCTTACGTCGGAAAACAGGGTAAAATCGGTGGCAAAAATCAAGAATGGTGATGTTGCCATTGAAATATGGTCACTGCAGCAACAGGTTGAAGACACTTTTAATTTGCTTTCTTTATCTTTGGTCCTTGTCAATACAGCATTAGCCCATGGCTCTCCAAACTTGGCAACTTTAAGACTTGTGGACTTCAAGTCCCAGAATTCCTCAGCCAGGTTGGAGACCTCTGGGCTAATGCTGTATTGACAAGGACCAAAGATACAGAAAGCAAAATTAAGAGTGTTTTTAATCTGTTGCTGCAGTGAACATATTTTAGCTGGCTGGGGAATTCTGGGAGTTGAAGTCCACAAGTCTTAAAACTGGCCAAGTTTGGAGACCCCCTGCACTAGCCAATTTGGGTCTTTCTGGCTTAATAAATAAGGAGACTGCACTACTTCTATCACCTTTTTTAATCTACAAAACAAGAAGGTCAGTCCAGCTGTAATCTTGCCTAGAAGAGATGATTGTCAGCCAAACAACAATACCCCAGTGATCCTCTTTCATTTGCAAAATAACATTTTTAGTGCATATTCTACAAGGCTGCCAAACCCACATTTGTTGAAATATTAAGTGATCTTGCTACAACCTCCTCTAAATCTCATGTACAGTACGATGCCAAATGTTTATAAAATACTAGCTGATAACCCGGCATTGCCAGGGTACTTATTTTATAGGGGGAAAATGTCCGGACTAAATGTTGGATGTCTAATGTTGGATTTTTCCCCTTACTAGAGAGCGCCCCTTGTGGAGTACTGGACAATAGAAGCCATTTTAGGGCAGTATAGTAGAAGGCATTTTAAGGCACAACAGGCTGTATCTTAACAGCATGCGCACACACACACACACCTGGGATGTTAGGGGTGTCTTACCCACACAGTATTTTTTTTCCCAGAGAGTAAGTCATGTGTGGTAAGTTTGGTTTAAATTGCTCTAGTTATGCTGGAACACACACACGCACGCATGATAGAGACAGAGATAGATAGATAGATAGATAGATAGATAGATAGATAGATAGATAGATAGATAGATAGATAGCTAGCTAGCTAGATAGATAGAAGAATAATTTTTCCAAGGACCAAGGCCCCTTCAGCTAGAATTTTGCTTCACAGGATAGCTAGCAAGATATTCTGAGCATTTGCAAACAGAAGGTGGAGTCCCACATCTCTGCCACCGGTGTAGCCCTTCAATTAGTATTTGGAAACGCCTTCAAACAGGCCAAGATACTGAGGCTTCAAGACCAAACATTTTGACAGACCNCCCCAGCCCCCAGGAGCACTCTGGAAGGCTCCTAAGGCTATGCACAGCCATTTTGGTGAAGGGGCGGAGTTTCGGGGGGCAAAAAATGCTGCATTCAGTATATAAGACTCACTCAGATTTTCAGCCTTTTTTTTTGAGGAAAAAAGGTGCGTCTTATACTCCAAAAAATACGGTAGTTAGTGTTTCTCAACTGTGGCAACTTTAAGATGTGGGGACTACAACTCCCAGAATTCCTGTGGCTGGCCTAGTTTGCATGTCCCAGTTGCTGGCATGCCACAGACCAGTTCTGATCCATACCCCAGGGGTTTAGGGACCACTGGCTTAGAGGATCCCCCATGATGAGGTAGGGGGAAATAATTTAACAAATAAGTCCATAAATAAAATTAAATGAAAGATGCTTTGATATCCATCCGAAAGCGAATATTGCCAGCTTCTCTTGTCAGCTGCAGTGCTACTTGGGTTCTCCTGTCTCACTCACCTGTGAGGAGCCCAAGGACATTCTGAACTTGCTCCAGGAGCAGCTTCCGCAACTCCTCCTTTCGGGCGATGCTGAGGTCCTCCCGTGGGCAGGCCAGCTCTTCGGATGTGGTTTTCAGCATGATCAGCCCAAGTGGGGTTGTCACTGGGGACTGGATTAACTGTTGAAGAGAATGGATTTTTAGCATGAATAGCTCTCTCTTATTTGTCTATCCATCCATCCGTCCTTTCTTTGGAAAGCTACCCGTGGAGTCAATACATTCAGAATGTTCTGACCCAGGCTTCCTTAGAAAGCAAGAAGCAAAATCTTGGTTCCGACAAAACCTCTTTAATTTACACAACTGTGAATTCTTTTCATTCCCAGTCCGTAAGGCTTAGCAAACAGTCTTTCAGAGGAATGTTTATCCACAGGCACCTTATCTTGCTTGGAGCGCTGCCAGATAACTACTGTCCAAAAACAGGGCAAAGCAACACTTGGCACAGAGTCTCTTATAATAACAAACAGAACTTTCTGGACCGAATGAATGAATTGCTTCCTGCAAAAGCCCCTTCCCCATTTGTTCCTCTTTTGTTTCCTATGGGAGGGGCCAATCACTTCCAAGGTGTGGCTTTACTCCCAAGTCGACCCTGCTTTCTTAGTTGTTTTGGTCTTCTGGCAGCTCTGCGCATGCGCACACTGGAAACAGGCTCCAGCTGTTCCTCTGCCTCACTGCTTTCTAGCTCCCTCTCTGCCTCCGATGCAGAGCCCTTGTCTGAGCTTTCCCCAGGACTGGCTCATGTTCCTCCACAACCTCCTCACTGTCCAACTCTGCTTCCAGCTCCACAGGCCACAACACAGAATAGCTAGGCAGTCCTCAGTTAATGACTGTCATTACGACTGGAATTTTTAAAGCCTTTTTAAAGCAATGCAGTTGTAAAGCACAATGTCTCACAGCCTGCATTACTTAGCAACAGCAGTCCGCATTGCTGCCATTGAGCAAGGACTGTGGGTCCTTAAAAGGAGTCCTAGGCAGGTCACAAACAGGGTGGCAAGCAAGGTATGGTGCGAGCACGGCGGCACAAGGGATAGCTACTGCCAGTTGGGGAAGGCGGAAGTACTTAGCGGAGTGACCTCCCCTGTAAGCTTCCAATTGACTCTGTTCGTGGGAAGCCAGCAGGGAAGTTTGCAAATGGCGATCACGTGACCCCAGGGCAGTGTGACCGTCATAATGTAAGACGGTTGCCAATGTCCAGACCACGGTTACGTGACCATGACCAGTGCTGGGATGTGGAAATTTGAGGACTGGTCGTGAGTCTCTTTTTTCAGCATTGTAGTAAGTAAGTAAGTAAGTAAGTAAGTAAGTAAGTAAGTAAGTAAGTAAGTAAATCTTAATTACGGCCAAAAACCAGCAATACACATTAATTTTTACACTATGTTAAAAAATATTGACATTAAGATATAATAAAAAGTGTTGTTATAATTTCGAATGGTTGCTGAACAAATGGTTGGAAAGCGAGGATTATATTACAGGGCGGTGATGGTGAATCTTTTCGGGATCGAGTGCCCAAACTAGAACACGCCTGCATGTGCGTGAGCCAAAGCACCGGAAATCTGAGGACCAGATGGCCGGAATGCATATGGCTGGTTTTTTGGGCTGTTTCCGGGCCATTTTCCAGCTGTTTTTAGGCTGTTTTGGGGGCGATATTTTGGGGGTGTTTTCAGGTGCTCCAGTGGCCATGAAGGCCAGCTGGCCGCTGCACCAGAAACTAGAAGGGCAGCTGGCCCTGAGAGGGCTCTGCGTGCCACCGCTTTTATGGGTGCCATAGGTTTGCCATAACAGTTAGAGTGATTAGTTACCAGGAGACTATGAATTCTAAGAGTCCCACCCTAGATACAAAGCCAGCTGGGCGACTTCAGGCCAACCACTCTCTCTCCCTCTCAGTGGTAGGGAGCAGGCAAGGGCAAAATGACTTCTGAAATCCACGAGTCAGGGCTGCCTCGAAGGCCCCAGCATAAGAATGGACCACAGTTAAGATGACTTTGTTAAGCTTTTAAATCTTACCTGTATGATATTTGTGAAGAAGTCATGATAAAACATGGGCCAGTCTTGCCGGCCAATATCCACAATGACCTTACAAAGTTTGTTTCGGATGAAGTAAGGCAAAGTTTTATGGTGAGCTAAAAGAAGTTTTGGCAGGCAACTGCGAATCTCTGTTTTATCCTGAGATGGGACCCCAAGCCACATCTTGTTAATCAGGTTCTGAAACAGACAGACATTGTCATGATGAACAAGGTGAAACATAACCTTCTTTGCTCAAGCCTAAAGGTCTTAAATGTAGAGGTGAGCTTGCTAAAAATAGTAAAAGTAAAGGTTCTCCTTGCACATATGTGTTAGTTGTTCCCGACTCTAGGAGACAGTTCTCGTTTCAAAGCCGAAGAGCCAGCGCTTTCTCCAAAGACGTCTCCGTGGTCATGTGGCCGGCATGACTAAATGCCAAAGGTGCACAGAACACTGTTACCTTCCCACCAAAAGTGGTTCCTGTTTTTCTACTTCCATTGTTTATGTGCCTTTGAACTGCTAGGTTGGCAGAAGCTGGGACAAGTAACGGGAGCTCACTCCGTTAGGCGGTGCCAGGGATTCGAACCGCTGAACTGTCGACCTTTCTGATCGGCAAGCTCAGCATCTTAGCCCCTGAGCCACTGCGTTCCTCAATTTTTGAGGTATTGCTAAAAATACCGACTTACAAAATATGTGCTACTTGGAAAGCTGCTTTTGTTTATTTGCTAATTGAATTCAGTGGGGAAAGTAATTATTTACAATTAAGAGGTGAGTTCTCATTCATAGAAGGAACTAATTCATGTTAGTAACTAATACTAGGATTGCAGGAGAGAGAAATAGGCAACTATTGAGACAAATTTAATCTCATTTTGCTCCATTTGATTCATGCTTGAAAAAAAAACCCCTATCTAACTCAAAATTATACATAAAAATAAATTAAAATACTTTCTCTGCCATAAATAGCCATAAATGAGCTTGAAACTAACTTCTTTTAAAATCAGTGACAACTTCATATACTTTGTTTTATAGCTTTCACCACCCACACAAAAACCTTCAACCCTCTGCATTCTTTATGAATTGTTTTTGACTGAAACAGATTGAATAATCTGTTAAGGAGCAACATTTCTTGGTCCCCTCTCCAATACATGTTTCTGCAACCCAAGTACAGATTCTGGAACAAAGTACCAGTACCAAGGCAAAGGAATGAAATATTCATTTAATGGACCAAATAGGGTGATGTCTGTTTAAATCCTGATCCCACAGCCCATTACTGGGCCATGGCCTATTCGGAATTGTGAGTGGCTGGCTGGAGAATGCGCATTTTTCCGACTTTGGCTTCTCCTTGTCCCGACAAAAACCCCTCTATTGTGAATTCTGCTCATTCACATCCAGCAAAGTCTTTCAAGGAGGATTTACAGTCACAGATCTTCTCTGGCTTGGAGAGCTGCCAGGCTGATATCTGCACAACTTGGCAAGGAGTCACGGAGAGTCAAGAACAAATTAAGCGAACTAATGGTCTCCTGCAAATTCCATTCTTCTTTTGCTCCTCTTTTATTTCTTCTGGGAGGGGCCATTCATCGTCCACCTGTGGCCTTACTTCCAAGCCGACTCCTGTTCTTTAGCTGTTCCCTTTGTCTGGCAATTCTGTGCATACGGACACTGGGAACGGGCTCCAGCTATTCATCTGTCCCATTGATATCTGACTCTGAAGGCAGCTGATAACTGTCAGACGGCCCTGGCTCCCTCTCTGCTTCCAATGCAGAGCCCTCATGCAAGCCTTCCCCAGACTCCAGGACTGGTCCATGTTCCTCCCCAACCTCCTCACTGTCCGAGTCTGCTGCAAATTGTACTGACTGCTGGCAGGCCACAACATGCATGTGTGCAACTCAATTTGTGTGAGTGATGGAGCAGCACTTGTGCGCATGTGCGCTGACCCATCACTCGTGCAAGTTGAGCTGTGTGTGCCAACCAGCCTGCCACTCGCATGGCCCACTTCCCCCATGAATGCCATTTGGGTCCCGCTGTTATAAGAAGCCTGTTACGAGCATGGTAAGCCCAGTCTGATAGCTCACCTCAAATACTGTTAAACTATACATCATGACATAGTCATTTCTCGTGCTCGACAGGAAATAGAGGCAGAATCTCCAGGCACCGACCTGCTGAGCGAAGTTATTCAGAAGCTCTTCTGGATAGAGAAATGAAGCAAAATCAAATCAAACATGCATTGCACAGAAACAAAACGACAAAAACCCCTTTTATTAATTTGTTGTGAATTCTGCTCATTCACCTTCAGCAAAGTTTTTCGAGGGAGGATTTACGGTCATAGACCTTATCTGGCTTGGAGAGCTGCCAGGCCAATATCTGCAAAACTTGGCAAGGATCTCAGAGAGTCACGAACTAATTAAGCGAACTAATTGTCTCCTGCAAACTCCACTTCCCTTTCACTCCTTTTCTGTTTCTTCTGGGAGGGGCCATTCACTGTCCACCTGTGGCCTTAATTCCAAGTCGACCCCTGTTCTTTAGCTGTTCCCTTCTCTGGCAACTCTGCACATGCACACACTGGGAACAGGCTCCAGCTGTTCATCTGCCTCATTGATGTATGACTCTGAAAGCAGCTGATAACTGGCATACAGCTCTGGCCTTCTCTCTGCCTCTGACACAGAGCCCTCATCGGAGCCTTCCCCAGACTCTAGGACTGGCCCATGTTCCTCCCCAACCTCCGCATTGTCCGAATGTGCTGTCAGCTCTGCTGGCAGTTGGTGGGCCACAACATATTAGAATTTAGACCAAAAGGAGGGTCTGCACAAGAGAAAGTCCTTTCTACATCCCTCTTGTTTTACGAGAAAAGCCAGAAGGCCCGGGCCTGAGCTATTTATACCGTTATTTACATTTAAGTCACTATCGATCAGAGGTTCTAAAAGCTGCAGCCAAAGACCACTGAGCTTATAAAGAGAAGACTGATATAACCCTAACAGCAGGACTTAAAACTTATTTTTAACCTGCTGATGTTGAAATGCTTAAAAAAACCCTGCTTTTTCCTTTGAACCACTGGGCTAAAAAGCCTTGGTTGATCTAAGGTCGGTTTCCTCAGGGCTTTGTGGTTTTCCATGTACTTCTAGCCCACTCCTGTTCTAAAGAACAATCATTATT